CCAGGAGGTTCGCGGCCAAATCTGTTTGGCGGTTTCTAATAGCAATCTTGAGATTTGTCATTTATCTAAATAAGTCTTGTTCCTTGCCGTTTATCAAGTTAACTCTTTCCTCTAACCAATTTAATTTTCATTAAATCGTTTGTTAAGTGAAGAAACAGATAACTAATCTTGCTTTTCATTGATCAATATCGTAAATAAAAATTATCTTGCTCCAATTTTCGACCGTAATATTCACAAATCCTAGAAATAAGAAAGCAAAATATGGGATTCTTTAGCTAACACTATTTTCCATATTTTGGAAAAGGTGGGATTCAACGGTCCGTATTACCTATTCAAACAATTACAACAATACGTACTAAGCCATCTAAGAGGCAGAAGGAGAGGGAAGATCATATTCTACATTTGGTCTTCAAACTCGCAGGTCGTCGTAAGAAGATGTGTTTCTTGATTCTCTTCTTAATCTCCACTCTCTTCTTCGTTCGCCTCCTTTACGTCTCAAAAGGTAAATACTTTCATGTTGTAAGTTTGTTTTGATTCTTGTCTAGTTATGGACCTTATGGTGATTTGAGGTATTAGCTTTATGGATTCAGTTTAAGCTCACTACTTGGAGAAACTGTTTTTCATATTAAGCTTTCTTCTCTCTGTAGAGTTTTAGAACAAAAGAGAAGCAGAACCATTTTGCTCTAGTTTAGAACCGAATGGTATCGTATAAAGAAATTTTTTTTTTAATATTATTTTATATATAATAATCACCGTTACATGCTACGACACAAGGTCATACAATTTTTATAAAGAGATACAAAGAGTTATAAAAGAATACATCTAGTGCAATAGATACAATCGAATCTTCCACTTCCATCGAATTTGGTAACTATAGAATGTGTATTAGAGAAATTGGCATCTTCATTTGAGCGTTTGGATTTAGAACTTTAAAGTCCGATGTCAAGTCTCAATGCAAATTGAATTGCATAAAAATATATATTGTTTTGAGAATTTTTGTTATTTTATTCCCAATGTGTATATATAACCAGATTTTTCGGAGTTTGGATTAGGAGTGCAAAACAAACGAAAAATCTAATTTTTGTTTGTTTATAAACTGGTTGGTTTAAACCATTTTATATTTTTAAATTTTAAATCCACAAATAACAAACCGAAAATGTAACTGAAAGGGATTTTAGTGTAATTAAATTAAAACGACTCTAATAAACCAATATCCTTTTATATTAAAGCCGAATTGAACAAACCAAAAAAGTAAACCACACTAACAAGAATTGAATTAAACCGAACCAAAATCAAACAAAACTACAATTGGTTTTATTTTGGTTTATAATTCTACAAAACCAAACCAAAGTCATACTGTAAACCGGAGCACTAAAACACCCTTCATAAATCACATTCCCTAATTGTGGGCTTTGCTAGCTTATAGGGAAATTAAGTTGCCAATTTTCATGTCCTCATTGTTTTGGTTGCAATCAGTTGAAGATGGTCAGAAAATTCAAGTTCCTCCGACTCTAAACTTCAGTGGCAATACAAACAAAGAGCAAATCAAGAATTTATCTTACGTTGGAAAAGCTGTAAAACCTTATAGACCTCGTCCTCCTCCATATTTCGTGGTTATACACTTCCTCCAGAACATCCTTGTAACACTTTCACTTTACCTCCTCCACCAGCTGACAAAAAACGAACCGGACCACGTCGTAAGATCAAATACTAATATTCATGTGACAAGTCTTTGAGATTCACTGTCTTGCTTGCATGTTTTTGTAATCAAAATGCTGTTGCTTGATTTTGAATTTTTCAGCATGCCCGGTTTGTTACCTTCCATTAGAAGAAGCTATCGCCCTGATGCCAAGCGCACCCTCGTTTTCTCCTGTTCTTAAGAATTTAACATATATACATGAGAAGCCGCTAAACCGAAAAACAGAGTTTGGAGGGTCAGATTTTGGCGGTCATCCGACTTTGAAACAGAGGAGAAGATCTTTTAACATCAAAGCAACCATGAGTGTGCATTGTGGGTAAGTTTCTCTTACTTCTTGTCTTGTTTTCTCTGTGGACTCTCATGTTCTTGATCAAATATTTGTTTTCCTTTACCAGGTTTGTCAAAGGAACAGAACCTGGAAGAGGAACAGGATTTGATATCGACAAGACTGACCTTCTTGAAATGAAGCGGTGTCGAAGGATAGTTGTTGCTTCTGAAGTGTTTGGTCATTTTCTTAGTGCTTCTCTGGTTGTTTTGGTTATTGTTTCCTTATGGTTTTTCTGATGAAGGAATGATCTCTTATCTTTTCAGATGCTTTTGATGACGTAAAGAGCCCGCGCAATATTAGTAAATATTCCGAACAAACGGTTTGCTTCTTCATGTTTGTTGACGAAAAAACTGAGGCAAGGTTGAAGAGAGATAAAGACTTTAATGTCACCACCATGAAAGTAGGATTATGGAGAGTTGTTGTTGTTCATAATCTTCCTTATTGAGATGGAAGGCGCAACGGGAAGGTAAATATTAAACATTTCTCTAATTTTTGAGTATTGAAACTTATGATCTTTACTTCTTGTAGGTGCCAAAGCTCCTTGTCCATAGGCTGTTTCCGAATTCTCGGTATTCTTTACGGATTGAGGAAAAATGTCACATTTGCCATCTCTAGACATTACAAAAGGTTTGATGTATTTGTTGAAGCCGTAGGGGGGGGGGGGGGATTTTAAAGTTAAACCGACCAAAGTTTGTCATGTCAGGCATGTGTTACAAATTGGGAAGGATAAAAGGCCCATTTTAAATTTTAAGAAAGAATGATTCAAATATAGAGGTAAAAAGGAAATAAATAAGGCTCACTTTTTGTAATGAAAATATGAAGAACTTGAAAATAAGTCTAAGGGTGTAAAAATAAACTTAAGGGACCTAAACTTAATAGGACCGAGCCCGTTTAAAGTATGACATTTGCTACACATTCGGGCTTACTTTCTCTTTCACTTTAAACCGTGAATAATGCAGAGATATCATCGAGCAGATCAAGAGAAACTGAAGAAGAAACAATCTCCACCGGCATTGATTAGAATCGAGTTGCCTCGAAAACAGTCGAATGTGAGTCCAGTGGTGAGGCTAACGCCACCCATAAAGGGAGGAAGAGATAAATCGTCGAGTTCAAGGAGTCATAGAAAAGCTATTTTGCCGGCAATATCACCAAAGGCAGCAGCTTAAGAAGAATTGGTTTTTTACTTAATTCAAAACCAATCTTTCAATATATATGGAGTTATGGACTACATACGAACATTGTAATTTTTTTTTTTTTGAAACTTACGAACATTGTAATTGGTCATCAGATTATAAAGAAAGTGAATCTTTGACTATTGCATAATTTTCATATGATGCATAATGCATTTCTCAATGTTCTTTATTATTCACATTAACAATTTAGCATGCATGCGAAATTTATAAAATATAATTAGGTTCTGCCTTCAAAATATTCCATAAAGTTCAATTAGCAAAACTTTGGAATATCAGAGTAAGTGCATAATTTATATGATATATGCAGACGAGAGGACATTATGTGTGTGAAATATCAGAGTAATGACAACAAGAATTCATGTCTAAAAATAGTACTAGAGAGAGTGCGCGCAGAATCATTGTTACATAAATTTGGATCATGAAAAATATATAGTTAAGAGATATAATGGAACAATTTAGATTATTTTGGTAGTGAATCAATATCGACGGTCCACAAAGACCAAGTGGTGTGTAAAGAGCTTTCCCACAAAGTAAATAAATAAAGAAACAGAGACTGTGTCCATTCAAAATCGCACAATATATACGAGAAAAAAGTGGTAATATAAAAATGTGAAAAATAAAGTGATCCACTAAATTTGTATAAATCATTGTGCTAATGGAATATGTTGTCACAATAGTTTCTCCACTTTCTTCACAATCTGGCGCACTACTCCTATTATTCTATGCACTAATTAGATCTATAGAGATGTACAAATACTCATATATAAGGTAACGCAAAAGCATGGCTGCTGCAGAATTATTGCTGCATTTTATGTTGAACTGTTCCCTGTAATTTGGAAATATTGAGACGAATGAATTTTAATCTTTTTTTTTATGAAATAATATATTTATTTAACAATGTCACATATATAATTTGCAAAAACATCGATTTCCAACTCAAATCAACTGACGATAAGTGAAAAAACTCATGTACTTTATAGTTTACACTACTGTTTTATACATATCTCTACTCTCAATGTAGAATAATTGAATAGATCTTTCTGAGATTAACGTAGGACTGGCTCATCCTCTCGAAAATACTATTACAAGACGAGTTATTTATAATGTAGAAAATTGTATATGATTTAACATTATGGGCTTTGATATTGAAATCGTATTAGAAAATGCAAACTAATTAACAACAATATGGACGTTC